GGTGTCTCCGTGGCTCTGAGCTGTACAAACTCACAGAGCTGATGTCTGAGCATAACGCTATTAAAATGTTGCAGATTTTGCTGGGAAAAAAAAGAATTATCCAAATCCAACCCATCTTCAAAGCTGCCTCCTTAACCGATTCGGAAAAAATAGAGGGAAAAAAAAAAAAAAAAACAACCACAGAGAAGAATAAAGTTCCCACTTGGCACAGTAGCAATACTGTGTGCTGCTTGGTGTCTCCAGATGTCCAGGAAGGCGCCGGGTGCCGGTGGAAGGCGGCTGCGGAGCTGACGATGCCAGGTGCCCATGGAAAGCAGCTGCAGGGCTGGTGGTGCCTGGTGCTGGTGGAAGGCGGCTGCAGAGCTGGCAGCTCCACCAAGTGGCATCGCAGACCCTGCCAGCGACCCAGCGAGGGTTGAGACGTGGCAAGAGGGGTGAGAGAAGGGGGACGGAGCTGCTGCCTTTGGGGTGGAGGTGCTGAGCCACAGCTTTACCATGGCTGGTCTCGCCAGTGGTGCTGCAGCATGCTGGGGATGGAGGTGGCATTTGGGTCCCCTACCATGTGGGCACCCCGTGCCAACCCTGCAGCCAGTTTGTCAGGACGTCAGGAAGGGCCACGGGCTCCAGCCAGGAGCTGCAGAGCCACCTTCTCACTGCTCTGGCTGGAGCGGGGTTGGGTTGCCCTCCCATGTTAGTCCCGGGCAGCATTCAGCGTGGCTGGCACCTGGAGCTGTGGGATGGAGAGTTTAAGAGCCTGTCCTACCCCTCAGTGCCAACCCCATAACCGTGTTTCTGTTCGCCTCTCCTTTCCACTGTGTTTTCCTTGTGTGCAAGGTGAGGGGCCAGGGTTGTTTCAGCCCTTTTAGGGTTTTTGGCTCAGTGCTGCTGGTTGGGCAGATGTACCCACCAGCTTCTGAGCAGGGCGGTGTTTGCAGGGGGGGACAGTGTTGCAGAGCTGGGAGGACATGGAGGTGCTGGGGAGGCACCAGTGACCCCCCCAGCTGCTGTGGTGCTCCAGCAGCCTCCCACCCCTGCTCCATGGGGTCCTTTGGGATCTTCTGTGGAGCAGGACACATGGCTAATGTTCCCAGCTCTGTGAAGGAGCTCAGTCCCCAGCTGTGTTGCATGTCCCCATCATGCCAGGACAGCCTGCCCTGGGCCGGGAACCAGCGTAGGGGAGCAGCCCAGGGGTGCATGAGAGTGGGAGAGAGACACACAGGATTTGCTCCAGTGGGATCCTACACTTGGTGAGTCCCCCTTGTTGGGAGCCACAGCACTGCTCGGTTTTGCCACTTTCTGTCTTGCTGCGTCTCCATCGTTGGGTGTCCCCGCACTCATCCCATCCCTCACAGACCCTCCTGCAGCCGCCTGTCCCCTGGGGACATCCCTGCAGCAGCAGGAACAGGGATAGGGGAACACTGCAGGGGGAACATGGGACAGCAACAGCTCCTCTTGGGGAGCTCTGAGCCACCTTCCTGGGGTGCTGGAGCAAGGAGCATCCTCCCACTGTGGCTTAATAATTTGGCTCAAATCATTGTGGGCAGGAGGTTCACAGCTCTTTGGTGGGGATCCCCCCAAACCCGAGTGTCTGCAGTGGGGTGGCCCCCGTTTCCCTGCTCTGATGTGGTTTTGGGAAAGGGGAAGCTGCTGCTCCTGCAGGTTGTGGGGCTTCCCCCATCTGGCTGTCATTCTCCCCACTGAGGCCTCCCCAAGCACCCCAAAACCTCACAGCACGGTCTGATGGCACCTCCCTGTTCTGCCGGCCTGTGGTTGTGCAATCCAGGAGAAACTCACGTTAGGCTATTGAAAAAAAAAAAAAAAAACAAACACCAAAAACCCAAGTTTAAACTTAATGTTCACCAACTTTGTAACTTGTACAAACAGGCAAACAAATAATTGGACAATTTATCGCTTGAACTGTACCAGGGGGAAATATCTCTATTTGTATCTAGCCTGTGCACAGCTGGTGTGGAGGACGTTGTGCGATAACTGGGGCTGTGCAGAGACCACCAGGTGTAAATAATTCCACAGCTTGCTCCAGAGGGGAGGGGGTTCTTCTGCTCAAGGTGACGGGTTTGTTCACTGTTACTTGCTTGGCGTGCCCACCAGTGAGTGCTGGGGGGGCAGTGGTTGCCCACTGCCGTACTGGTTAAATAATAAAAAAGCAAACAAACCAACCCAATCCAAAAAGCTTATTTTGGGAGCAGAATGCAGCGCGCTCCTGCCTGTGGGTGTGTGTGAGCCTGGGCAGGGCCAGCTGCTCCTGGGGCAGCCGAATCGGGAGTGGGGTGGCCAATGGTGAGGGGCTGGGGGTGGATTGGCGACCCCTGTGCTGCAGGGCACTGAGGGGGCGTCCAAGGGACAGTGGGCAAAGGGGACAAAGGGATGGTGCTTTTCTGTGTGCCCCAAGAGCTACATCTCATTGCCCCAGAGCTGCAGAAGTTACTGGGCAGGCTAATGGGCCCCTCCCCAATTACAAAGTGAAACAGAAGCCCTCGTGTCTATTTGTGGTTCTAAATTGCTTTACCTCTGACACCTGTTCCATGGGTGTGGTTGACTTTGGCCAGGAGTCTTTAGGTCCCCCTCCCACACCTGCACAGCTGATGTCACAGGCTGGGGAGCTCTTCCTGCTGCCGGGAGTGATGAGTGGGGAGGACAGTGAGCTGGAGGGAATGGCTGTGCACGAGGACTACGTGGATGACTGTCTGGAATTTAATCCATTGAAGGTGTTAGTTGTTTTGGGAACCTTCTGCTGCCTTTCCTAGGGCTTAGAAATGGATTTTATACAAATGACACTTTCCTGAGGACAGCAGTGAGCATTTCAGACAGGGTGTACCCCTTCCTTCTGCCAGCTCAGCCTTCCAGGTGGTCACTCTGATCCAAGTGGAGTCCTGCAGTCCTGGAGGAAGGCTGCCAGCTCTGCCTGACTAGTTTGTTTGCCCAGGGTATGTCCAAAATGTTCCTCTGGATCACCCAGACACCATCTGAAATCCTTCCAGGTATGTACCCACACTGACCAAACCTCTGGTCTCTGTGTGCTCTTCAGCAATCAGCTCCCATGGCAATAATGCACTAGGCAGATGCTGCTGGTTCTTACAGATCAGCCCAAAGGTCTCTGAGACCAGTGACTGTGTTGAAAACCTTCTTGCAAAGGCTTTTGCCGCTCTGAAGGCAATTAGAGGAAGTTAATAACTAGTACAAGCAGGAGCCAGGCTGTTCAGCCTCTCACATGAGGGTTTAAACACTGACAGGGGCTGACAGCAGTCGCCCTGGTCAATAATTCACACTGATGCTGAAGAAACAGAAGGTGGTAAAACTCTAAATTCAAGGCCAACGCTTAGAATTTAATGATGGAAAACTTTAGGTCTACTTGAAAAGCTTTTACATAAAGAGATGAAAATTAAATGGGACAAAAGCAGATGGCTTTGAAAACCAGCAATAAAAAGATGTCAGCAATTCCAGATTCACTCCTATTTTGGGTGGCAGACAGGGGTTTTTGAGGGGAAAGGAAAGATAAAAGATATTCCCTAATGCCTTTGCCCTGGACAGAGACTGTGAGAAGGCACAGGAGCATTGTGACTTTCTCCTGGTGATGAATTGGTGTTTAGTCAGGATTATAGGGAATTTTTTTCTTTTTGGAAAGAATTAAAACAAGAGGAAGAATTATTTAGCTAGGTTAGGTTGAGTTACAAGAGCAGGGAGGAAAGGGCTTGAGATGGAGATTGTCATTCCTGCATGTGCCAGGACACCGCACTGGGCATCAGCACCCCCTCACAGGCTGCAGGTGACAGGGAGGGGAGTGGGATGGGGTACCCAGCGATGAGCAGGGCAAGCCTTGTTTTAAAAAAGGGTACAAATTACACCAGAATACCAACCCCCTGTGCTGGTAGCACCCAGCTCTGTGCCCTCCCCATGAAGGCAGCCCACAGTCCCCCCACACCAGTCTCAGCAGAGCAGGGGCTCTGCAGCTGAGCAGGTCAGACGTGCCTTTAGCCGGGAGAGCCCGTAACCATTCCTGGGCCCTGTAGGGCAGGAAGCATTTTATACTCTCCTGACAATTGCAATCCAAATAGCCATTCATCAGTTCTCGCAATCTGCCGTGAAATTATATATGCTCTGTGATAATGATGCAGAGGCCTAAAGAGCTGATCTTGGCAGGAGATGAGACAGGGTAGGTTGGCGAGTAACTTGGAAGGAAAATAGTGGCTTTTGGTGGGATGCCTGGCTCTTATCAGCTCAGGAACCCTGAAGGGAATTGGGCAGAGGCAGGGGTGTCCCGGCTGGCTGAGCTCTGCCTGGCTTATGTGCCCATCTGGGAAGAGTTGGGCTCCCCAGAAACTTGGGAATGAGTGTCACTGGGGTGTGTGTGTGTGTGTGTGCATAACAGCTGAATTAATTGTCAGGTTTATTTATCCTCTCATTTTTTGGCATCCTGTAATTACCAAAATGAGTATTTGTCAGGACTGCAGGCAGCAGAACGGTAATAAATCACTGGCCACAGACAGGAGGTTGGAGCAGTTATGTCTGTAGTGAGCTGAGATTGGTTTCAGCTTTACTGAAGGGCAAGTGCTTGGAGGGGGCTGGTAGGCTGGGGCAGAAACAAACAAAAATCAAACAACAAACCAATCAGCTTTGCAGAAATGCTACTGAAATGAAATCCGTGGATTCTCCATGGAGCTCTCCAGCTGTGGAGAAATCCCCTAACAGGGATACAGGGGCTTTGGAGAGGTGAAGGCTCCGCAGGCCCCAGCACATGGGACATTGCCAGGCCCTGCAGGGCTGCAGGTCCCTTCCCACGATGG